AGCATTATATTATTATATTATACTTTTATAAATTCATCTTCAAGAATAGCATTACATTTATCATAGAAAATTACGCATCGGGGACGAACTTTGCAGACACTGAATCGAAACTCCAATAGTTATTTTTGCACGAGTGACGCCCGCTGTATTTTTATATGAGTTACGCCTCTTCAATTCCTAGCACCGCGTTTTCTATAGCCATCTTTGTGACCAGTCGAGTGAACAAGGTCTTATCAGGCCCCGTGAATATGGAATAAGAATAGGAGGAGGAGGAGGAGGAGGCGGAAGAGGAGGAAAGAGAGGGGGAACGAGGAGGAGGGAGGAGGAGGGGGGAGGGGGGAAGAGGAGGAGGAGGAGGAAGGAGGAGGAGAGAGGAGGAGAGGAGGAGGAGGAGGAGAGGAGGAGGAGAGGAGGAGGGGAGGAGGAGGAGGAGGAGGAGGAGAGGAGGTGGGAGGAGAGGGGAGGAGGAGGAGGAGAGGAGGAAGAGAGAGAAGAGGAGGAGAGGACGTGGAGATGATGATGAGGAGGTGGTAATGGGAGGAGAAGAAGGTGGTGGAGGAGAAAGAAAAAGAGGAAGAGGAGGAAGAGAATAATGATATTAAGAAAAAAAGAAGAAGGAAGGGGAGTAGGAGGAGATAGAGAAGAATAAGAAGTAGAAGAAGGAATAAAAGTTGGAAGAGGGCAGGAGAAGAAAAATAAGATGAACTACAACAACAATAACAACAACAACAACGATTACAAAAGAAAGAAAAAGACCAAGAAATAAAAATGAAAATAATGACAACAAACAAAAAGGAAAAAATAACATAATCGAAAAAATAAATCAAACTTTCTCTCTCGGGATATTACTGACAAGAACAAGCAAGAGTTATGAGAAGTTATGAGAGCCAGACTATAGAACAGACGAGAACATCGACGGAAAGAAGTAGCTGAATAAAGGAAGAAGAAGAAGAAGAAGAAGAAGAAGAAATTGAGAACTGAAGAATGAACGAATAAAAAAGATGTAAAAATAGAAAAAAAAGAAAGAAAAGAAAAAAAACGAAAATTGAAGATTGAACGAATAACATGGACGCAAAAAAAGAAAAAGAAAGAAAGAAAGAAATATATAGAGAATTGAAGATTGAATGAATACAATGGACGATAAATGACTTATTTTCGTTTTATTGTTGCGATTCTTAATACACCTCTAACTTCACTGCGTTATAATGTACACAAATATGATATTAGTCAAAGTATTATGAAAATAAGACTCTTATCAGATATTCATTTCGAAGTAATCAAAGTTTGCTTGAGGAAAGTTTAAATAGCTTGTAAGACTTGACAAAGAAAGAAAGAACTGGAAAAAAATGTCAAATCTCTCTCTCTCTCTCTCTATCTATCTATCTCAGCATTTTTCTATCTTCTCTCTTCCCTCTCTCTCTCTATCTATCTCAGCATTTTTCTATCTTCTCTCTTCCCTCTCTCTCTCTTTATCTATTTATATATCTATTTATCTCAATTATGTGCATGTCGCTCTCTATCTTATGTCTCTGTCTCTCCCTCCCTTCCTCTCTCTCTGTTTCTGTCTGTCTCTTTCTCACTCTGCTTTCCCTGTATCTCAGCTATCTGTTAGTTTCCTTATTCATTTCATTCTCTTCCTGTGCACGTGTTTATCTGTCTGCCTATCTACCCGTATCTGTCTTGCTGTCAATTTCATGTTGTTTGCCTATCTATATGTCTGTCCCTAACTTTTTTTCTCTCACAATAATAAAAATTATATAATTTATCTACAAGAATTTAGGTGACCGTTTAAAAAAAATAAAAGACCCCAAACAAAGAAAAACAAACATAAACAAACACACAAACAAAAAACAAACAAACAAATTATCTGCACATATCAGGGCAGATATATGTCCTTTACTGGAAAGATATCACAGCAAGATAGAAGTTAAAGCTGGTACTAGGATAAAAATTAGGGCAAAAATCAGTGTAGATATCAAAGCCATTATTGGGAAAGATATGAGGGCAGATATAAAAGAAGATTGTAATAGGTTTTAGATCTGATTATACTTCAAAGTAATTATGGCAGATATTGGAGAAAATGCTGGGATAGGATGAAAGGTAATATGCCTGATTTTGAAACAGTAACTGGGGCAGATATCAGAGTGGATATTAGGACCAGATATTAGAATAGATAATAAAATTGATATCATAACAGATTTTAACTATTTTGTAGCTAATGGATATAATCTTTGACCGAGGTATGTTTGGCATGATTAATATTAGTGAGACAAATATTACGGCCAGATATTACGACAAATTATCACAGATTTCTGCTTATTTTTTAATTAATAATTACTTTGACAAGACAGATATTCACAGAGATACACAATGAATATTTCCTTTTCTCTTAGATATCATTAAAGATTTTTAATTATCTTATGGATATAATCTTTGACTGAAGACATGTATTCACAGAGTCACAATTATCCTTCCCTTTTCCTTCCTCCCATTTTGTAGGTTTATGATAATTATTAGTGGGGCAAATATTATGACAATATATTACGATAAATTATCAGATT